GCCATGGTATCTGACATCCAGAGCCCTAAGCTCAGAGCGGTGGGCTCACCTCAATATGGGACTCAGAGCAGGTGGGCTCACCTGACTGTGGGACTCAGAGATGCTATATCAGATGAGTAAGACCATGTTGACACTGTCGCTTAAGAATGCACACAGGCGAGGCTGTTAAAAGAAAGTTGATTTTGTGCTAATTAGAGGTCTTTCCATAGACAGTGCTAGTAATGAACACTTGCCTTTGACTGGCAGAGTGTCTAAATGAATCCTGTGTTACTGAGATTTTTATTTATGGCAGCTATGTAGACACACCCTTTTGGGTCTGGGCCTACAGAAACTGAGGTACCCTGTGGGAGCCAAGGAATATGTGGCCAACAAGGAACTTGGACTCTTGGTTGAGCTTAGGACAGGAACATGGGTGCCACAGGAACATGGCATGCGTGTATCTACTACACCAAGCAGCAGTATATAGGAGGCAAGCGTGGACAGTTCCAGGTAGGGTTTGGAGCCTGCATAAGAAATGAGTACTGGAAAATCCTGGAGGACAAGGCCAGTCAGGTAGAGAGATTCAGAGCACAGTGTAGGGCCATGGCATCCCAGTCAGGAGTTGACATTGCTGGAGGAAAGAGCAGTGGCAGGAGAGCAGGCATGCAGGAGGGGAAGGGATGATAGTTGATGATACTCTGCTGTGGAGGAGAAGGAAGGGGGCTGAAAGAGATGGGGGGTGTGGCCAGGCATCTGATTAATATTGAGTGAGGCTTAATGTGCACTCACATGCAGCAGGAAGGGAAACAAGAGTGGAGGAGGTTGAAGATTGGAGAGACCACTGGGAAAGCTAAATGGTGGATGGGGCCAGGTCCTTGACCTCTGAGAGGGAGACCAAGGAGGCCAGGAGAACTGCAGGTGGCACAAGTTTCCTCCTCACAGTTTCTCTTTTCTGGTGGACTCAGGGAATGTGCACGAGGGAGAGCAAAACCCAGAAGACTGCTCTTAGTCTCCTCCCGCACCCTCTTGACCTCAGCCCAGAGTCAGAGCCGGACAGCCAAACAGTCTGTAGATCTAGGGCATTGGAAGGGCCATGTTCAACCTTGGCACATCCAGGATTTAGAGCTGCCAGACCTTCCCAGCCTCGACCCAAACCCTTTTTCAAACCCTTAGAGCCAGCCTTGTCTCCTCTGGTCAGTGTTAACCTTAGAGCCAGCCTTGTCTCCTCTGGTCAGTGTTAACCTTAGAGCCAGCCTTGTCTTCTCTGGTCAGTGTTAACCTTAGAGCCAGCCTTGTCTCCTCTGGTCAGTGTTAACCTTAGAGCCAGCCTTGTCTCCTCTGGTCAGTGTTAACCTTAGAGCCAGCCTTGTCTTCTCTGGTGAATGTTAAGTTGATCACAATCATCTTGGTTCTATAGCGAGAATCTTTTTAGACCTTAGTGACTGGAAGAGTGTTGTTCTGTTCCTTCACATTTTTCCTGCATTTACACAGATGAAATCTCTTGTAATCCTACAGGGCCAAACATGGAAGGGGAAGAGTGCCAAGGAGTTGGCCCAGAGAGTGTCGTAGTGTAGATAGAGCCATCTGATTCCACCTGACATCTTGATAATCTTTCTGTGCGGAGGGTGGAGGTTCCAGTGCCAAGGAGCTCAGACCTTATTCCGTCAAAAGGTACTCCAGTGCCTGCTGTGGGCCAGCAGAGTCACTCCTCAGGGATGGAACCAGTGTGTAGGACCTTGGTTACAGGGTGGAGGGCTGGGATTCAGAGTGAGGCCTCTCTACTTGAGGCTCTTTGCTCAAACCAGGCAGTCAAAGCACCTCTCAGACAGTGTTTCGCACTGCTGAGGTTTTCATTTGAAAGGTGCCCAGTCTTCTAGTGTATAGGGCTCCCTAGAGAATTGTCAATCCTCCAAAATAAAACAACCCAGCAGTGTTCAAATGTAGGTCTCAGAGACATTGAAAGTGAATAAATTCAGGGCAGCAGTGTGAAGTGCCTGCCCTGACTATTGACTGCATGACTTTGGTGAAAAGAGATCTAGAAACCATTTCAAGACAGTAGTGGGAGGAGAGAAGGAAGGGGGCACTTGGTGTTGGAGCTGATGCTGAGCACAGCTCCTGCTACACTCCCTCCAGTGTGTACCCCCACTACTGGGGGAAGACATCTGTCAAGTGCCCACATGGTCTAGGCATCCCATGTCCTATGTCCTATAAGAATAGAAGTTCTACAAAGACAGATACCATACCATTGGGGTGTGGACAGCCAGGACTGGGGTTGGTTTTAACTGTGGATCCGCGCCACTTATCTTCCAGGTGTCTTCCCAGGTAGTCATGGTGCAAAATAAGAACATGTAGTCTGAACTAAACGTATACATATACATGCATATACACATACATCCTTCCCGAGCACACACATTCACACACTTCCTGCTACAGCTGTTTATTTTTGTATGCAGGGAAAATTATGGAGGGAAACACCATCAGTCAGAGACTGGACACTAAGCAGCCTAATCCCTGAATGTTGTTTAAATGCACTGGTTTTATATTTTATTATAACCCAGTTTATCAGCATTGACATTGGGGATCCTAGGAGAGAGAGGCCTTTGTCTTGACAAACTCTAACAGGGCAGTAATATAATATATGCTTAATGGTGTGTGTGTGCACAGTGGGGGAGTAAATTCCATTGAGGCGGGTGAACTGTGTGCTGGAAATGAATCCAGGTACACATTTCACACAAAGTGCAGACAGCAAACAGGTGAGCTCTACAGCACTGAGATTGACTCAGGTGTGAGTCTGAGAACTGGAGTCACAGCATTCATTCAGGAGAACGAACACAGCACCACTTGTTAAATGAGGTGTGGTAGTGATTTTTATGAGAAACACTGTAAGAAGGGCCTGTGTGTTTGCTGCCTGCCTGCATGGGTGCTACCTGTTCATCTACTCCAGTTGCATCTGTCAGGTGCTAGTGTTTGCTAGTTTATATCACTGCCTTCAGACTTGGATCTAAAATTGTGAAGCTGAAATAGACTTGACCAGGTCCTAGCTCACTGTCCTCATGGGGGTGATAGTAGCTGCTCATAGATGTGAGGCAGCCAGAAAGAGGTGTGTCTCAGTTCCTGGTTGATCTTCAAGTGTCCCCATATCCGGGCAGTTCATCTTTCAGCCAAGCAGGCCACAGTTTGGTTACATCCGGCTTCCCAAGTGTGCCTGGCTGGGACTCATCACTGGGTCCTGAGATGCCCTGATGAATGCTTGCTGCAGACATAACTGTCCGGCCAGCAAGTTTTTCCTTTGTCTGTTTCCACTTTCCCAACCTCCGACTTCTTGATACATGTTTGTTCCAGCTGGTTGACAGCCTATTCTCACTGAAAATCCTTAAAATGTTCCAGGTGTGTACTTTAAAAAAAGTTGCTAATGAGGAAGAGTCCTGGTAGGAATCAGAAGGTCTTAGAAGTGTAGGTTGAGAATGTCGTCCCTCCCTTTCTTCTCTGTCAGGGCACCCAACAGCACAGGCTGGAGATGCTGGCCTTGCCTTGGCCTTAATAGTCTCCAAGTTGTCCCTGATGGTTCCTAGTTTTTGGCCCCTTATTTAAAGAGTTGAAATAAAGGTTGACTCAGATTACAAAAGTGGCAAGGAAACTTTATTGGATCAAAATAATATTCACTACAGGAAGAAACATTCTGTCAAGAGTGAGAGTGGCCTTGCGAATAGGGGACTCAAGATCTCTGATTATTATTTGGAGCTTCCTTTTATGGGGTTCAAGAGAAGGAGTTTGGTTGCTAAGGGCTGTATCATGGGTTGTTCTCTGTTTTGATTGGCAGGTTTACATTATGTAAACTTTCATTTACTGTACATGTCTTTTCCCATAATGCATCTGATTTTAGTCATATGCCTACTTAATTATGTACAGGCATGGCATGGTAAATACGGGATAGTCCCCAAAAGTTCACTTAGAGGACACAGTTTGCCTTATTGTTCAGGTACTTAAACTAGTTCAGGCTGGATTGGGCCAGCAGCCTCATACCTGGATATAAATGAAGTATGATTTAATACAATTTGTTTGTCTAATGGTTGTTAAATGGCAAGAGAAATTTATGCTGTTGTTCAAGGAAGGGAGCGCTTGCAGCTCAGCGAAGGTGGGCACTCTAGCTCTCTAGCAGGTTGCTAGGTAGATTATTCAAGAGGGATGTGTATGGTACATGCAGGTGTGAAGTCTTGGGCTGTCAGGCACAATATTAAAAGACGGGCGTGTGCACAGCCCATACCAAGTGGAGTCCTGGGTTGCTGAACTCTAACCTGTGCTTGCCTGCCTCTACATGATCACACACAATTGCTCCTGTTGTCCACACAGGAGCTAGCCTTGGTGACAGCTAAAACTTAGCCACTTTGATTCATCAAATCACACTGCTAAACCTGCTGGGAAAGTGGATATATGCTCCCACACTAGTGATAATTTTCTCTTCGGTCTCTTTGGGGGTACAAGAGATGGAAGGGGTCAGCTTCAGGAAGGAATCCCAGGAAATCCCAGAAGTGTCTCTGGTTGTTGAGGGTTTGGCCAAGGACTTTTCCTGGTTACAAGAATGGAGGATATCATGTGAACAACAAAATGTAAGATTCTTCAGCTAGTTTTAATTTTCAGCTAGCCTAAAGCCCTGGAGCCATGTCCAGGACAGGGTGGGTCCTACGGGATTAAACACTTACACCCCTCCACAGACAGTCTGCACTATAAGAAGGCTTCTTCTCTTTGTCCCTGAGATGCTGACAGAATGACAGTAGTAAATATTTTGGCAAAGAAATCTTGGGAAATTGGAGTTATAGGGGAGAGTATTCCATGTCTCTGCTGTTCCCCCGAGTCTGCCTGTGTGTATCCTCACCTCAGACCCAGCCTTCCTCCTCCATCTGCTGAGTTTAGGTACAGCCAAGCTTCAGCCCTGCCCACCTCTGTGCTCACCTTACAGCCAGATGCCTGTGTATTTTGCATCCTTACTGAATTCCTGTTGACACCCACTCTGTGCTTCCCAGGAATTGGCCAGCTGCGGATGGAGTAAGAAGGAGAAACACAGTCTTGCCCCTAATGTTGTGGCCTTTACCCGGAGGTTCAACCAGGTAAGCAACGTCCCTGCAGTGTTCTGTCCTCATGGCAGTTCACTGTACCTGTAGCCCTCAAGGTTTAGTCCAAGCTTCTTGGCCCTGGGTCCCAGAGCTCTTTCCTGACCACCCACTGCCATCCATTTATCCATTCAGTCTGGTTCACAAAGTGAGTAATAACATTCCTTTCCTGTGCTGATGCCACCGTACAGAAGCTCAGGTTCTGGGAGGTCAGGGGCGGGGAATCTAGCCTCTGCTTTCCCTTCTTGCCTCATTTCTCTGCCTCCTTTCTTCTCCAGGCTCCAGCATCATGGCCTGCCCTCTCTGCCATATCTATGTCCCAGTAGGCCCCTGGTTCCCATGGCCTGTGTTCTTGGTCCAAGACTCTTTTTTTCTGCTTAACTCTAAGTCAGATCTTAGCCTGAGCATCACTTCTGCAGGGAGCAACCAGCCTGTCTGAGGTCTTCCCATCACATATCCCCTCATTTCTCCATGTGGTCCTCAACTCAACTGTTTTTGTTTTGTGTGTCCTGTCCTATTCATCATGTCCCTACTACCTTGTCAGTGTTAGGTTTGTGTGTAAAGGGCCCTCGGTGAACATGTGAAGCAGTGAGTGGATGGTCAGGAGATGCTTCTGGAGTTGCTCCTCCTCGTGTCCTGACCCACCTGACCCCACACTCTCTATGCTGACTTGGTCCAGCTAGCACTCTGGAATGTGAAGATGTGTCACTGTGATTGGTTTAATAAAGAGCTAAATGCCCAATAACTAGGCAAGATAGTATTGGTAGGGCTTTTGGGCAGAGAGAGAACTCTGGGAAGAAGAAAGGTGGAGTTGCCAGCCAGACACGGAGAGGAAACAGGAGGTACAAGATGGAAGAGAGGTGACCTCATGTGGCAGAACATAGATTAATATAAGTGGATTAATTTAAGTTGTAAGAGCTAGTTGGGAAAAAGCCTAAGTAAGCTAAGGCCAGGCTTTCATGATTAATAATAAGTCTCCAGGTCATTATTTGTGGGCTAGCAATCCAAAGATAGTCCAACAAGAAAGCTTGCTATATCCAGGTATGAAGAGCTACCTACCGCCTGCAGTGGAAGATATGGGCTCCTAGGAGCAAATGAGAAACTCAGAGGCAAATGGACCAGTTGAAGGGAACAGTGCTTCTGATTTCTCCACCAGAACCTCCAGAGCATGTACTTTGATAGTAAGCTCCCACAGGTTCCTTTTGCAAAACCAACCTCCATAGTGGATTCTTCTCAATGAGCACAGTGACCTAAAGGCTGCATTATTGTTTGGCTGACCCTCTGGGTGCTTGGGCCCACATTTCCTTGAGGTCTCGGTTTCAGCTGGGCCTTACCTTTCAGAAATGCCTGGCCCTGTACATCACTGTTGCTCAGCCTCTGCAGCCATCTGCAGCCTCTGCATCTGTCCATGGACGGCAGGAGCCTCAGGCAGGCACTGACTTGTAGTCTGAAGATCAAAGCTGGGGCTGGCATTGTTTGTTTGTTTGATGAGGTGTGATAGGCTTCACAGTTTGTTTAAATAGAGAAGTGATTTCTTTCTGTATTGAAAATCTTTTCCTTTCAAACTGAGCTTAATATTAAAAAAAAGGAAAAGAAGTCCAGTGTAGTGGTGCCACCTTTAATCCCAGCACTCAGGAGGCAGAGGCTGGTGGATCTCTGAGTTTGAGGCCAGCCTGGTCTACAGACTGAATTCCAGGACAGACAGGACTACACAGAGAAACCCTGTCTCAAAAACAAAACAAAAAAGGAAGAAGAAAAGAAAAAGCCAGATGTGTGCACAATGTCAGAGGACTCATAGTTTCCTTAACAAAACTCTGACTGGGAGCCAACCCCACCTCTAGGCAGCCATGGACCTCACAGAGGGTGGGTCCTTGGGGACACTGTGATCTGTTTTACACAGGGGTGCCAGGTCAGTTTGGCAAAGTCAGTATAACTGTGTGGCAAACAATTATATTGTGTCCACCCAGACCAAGTGGTACAGTGATCCAGAAGCTAAGCCATGTTTTCTCAAGCAGAACGCTCCAGGAAATGCAGGTCATGGAGAACCAGAGCTTCTGGACACAGCCTGGAAGCTTTGGCTTGAAAACTGGCCAGAGGCCAGCCTTGGCCCACTGCTGGGACTGCTGTCTTTGGGATGAGCTCACTGGTCCACTTATGGGTGGACTTAAACCATGTGACGATGAGACTCCTTATCAGACTCCAGATAAGAGCTAGCAGCCCACTGACCTCTCTGAGCCTCAGTTTCCTCATCCGCACCCAAGAATAGCAACAGCACCCACCTTACAGAGCTGTTGTAAGGGTAACAGGAAGTTTGGCAGTAGTAGGCTGCAGATATTTCAGAGGGGTTCTAGGAAAAAAAATCTGAAGATCAGAAGGCTAGAAGGATGTTGCTGGAGGATTTGGGACCTAGTACAAGTTTCCTGCTCAGTTCAATTGCTCCTCCATGGGATCTGAGTGCCTCAGAGTTTACTCACAGAGTAGCAGGATGGTAGAGCTCATCCAGGCTCACCCAAGGTCTGTTATGTCTCTACCCCGAGGAGTTTATCCTGGCCTTCCGTGTTACTAGGAGGACCTGACAATATCACAGCTGAACCTGCTTCTAGAAAGTACACGTACATGAATTGCATTTGATTTGGGGGTTTGGTGCTGCCTTGAAGTGTGTGCAGGGAAGCCAAGTTTGAGCCTTAGCCACTGCTTGTTAGCTATAGGATATTGGACTGGCTTCTGGCCTCTGCACTCATCTGACTCATGGATCATCTCAAGTGGGTTTTGAAGATGAAATGAGAAGCTGTAGTCAGCCCAGAGGAAATGATTCATTAGCTTCAGAAAGTCTGTGCTGTGGCTAAACGCACTGCTTAGAAGGAAGGTAAAGCAGAAGCGAGGGACTGAAGCTTAAGAGAATGTCAGGCCAGCAGTGTGCTCAAGGGGGACTCGGAAAAATGAGACCAAGAACTGAGGACTACTGATGTTTGTGTGGGCAGAGGACGAGGTTCACACATGAGACTGGGTGAAGAAATCTAAGAGCAGGAAGAACATTCCAGAAGGGCAGAGTCTGGAAGTGCACTTCAAGAGTGAGGTAATGCAGAGCTCAGGCTGCCGGAACAGAGCTGGTAATGGGTCCATAGGTCTTAGCCACAGGCAAGCAGCAAGGCACAGCATCTATGGAGAGAGCAGGTGTAGGTGATGCTGTCAGAGCATCTCTAAAGATGGAGGGAGGGGGGAGGAGGGAGTGGCAAGTCCAGGAAGGCGGTTGTGCTTTTTTTCTGAAAAGTGGGCAGATCCTTGAGGATGCTCCTGCCAAACAAGTGCTAGCTATACAGCCCAAATCAGTTACAGCAATGATAGTCTCTATGTATAAAAACTTATTTAGTTTCATGACCAAATGGTCTTTTCAACATTTCAAAAATTTAGGGTAAATATTCTATTAACAGGCAGAATAAGAAAAAAAATATAAAATCCAACATTTATACATGATTTTAAAAAATAATCAAATTAGAAAGGGGCACTTCTTTGACTTTCTAGAGAATTCCACAGCAACCGTAAGCCTGGATGATCCTGATGGTAAGACGATGTGCTCTCATGCTGTTCCTGTGAATACTACACAGACATCCAGGAACAGTAAAAGACATTCGGCCGAGAGAGAAAGAAATCGAGGTAACTTTATTCATAGACATGACTGTCTATAGAAAATTACCAAGAAGCCATTTTTACAAACTCATGGCACTGATGCACAAGCAAGGGACACAAGGTCGTTCACTGCACAGAAAGGGTTGCTTTAGTTGTACTAGCAATGAAGAATTGGGATCTGAAGGTTGAGAGCACTGTTTGTAATAATGTCAGAATACAAACAAGATTTAGGTGTTTATTTTTACGAACTATGGTTTATATGTTGAAACCTATAAAGCCCTGAATTGAGTAATCAGAGTAGATGTTAGGAACAGGGAGAGGCTTCGTCTTCATGGATGAAAAGACGTGGTGTCATTACGACGTCAGTTCTCCACTTGACATTTAGGTTCAGTGCTGTGTGTGAGATCCAACAGATGCATTCCAAAGGTTGTGTAGACTGACCAGAGGCCTGCAATACCCAGTGCAATGCTGGAATAGAGAAAGCGCTGCAGAGTCACTGCTGACAGAAGAGCATGGAAACCTAGGCCAGTGGGATGGAATGTGTGCCGAGAGTGTGCTGGGGCAGCTGAAGAGTGCACTTTCTGCGTGTTTGTGTGCATGCGCATGTGTGCAGGTGAATTTAGATACAGACTTTAAGCCTTTCATAAAAATTAACTCAAAATAGGTCAGATACTCAGATGTAAACTTTTAGGAGAAGACATAGGCCGGGAATCTCTATGCCCTTGGATTTGATGGTGAGCTGTTAGAGACCAAAAGACAACCTGTGAAAGAAAAAAATTAGTGAATTTATTAAGACTAAGATACTTCCATTATGCAAAAGGCGCATTTAAGAGAATAAAGATAGATACAGACAGTGCAAAGCACTTGTCTGAAACAGTCCACTCTGAAGACTCCTCAGCAGTTCAGATGCGTCACCTTGAGTAGATACTCAGTGTCCATCACCCGGGGCACGGAACAAGAACAGCTCCCTATGCATCTGAATCAGAGCAGAGCCGCTGAGGACCTGGGGCAGTACAACTCATTCAGTGTTGGGGATGCAGGATGGCACAAATGTGGTTCAGCAGTTACCTCATGCACTGACCTAGAGGCTCAAAACCTACACACACACACACACACACTAGAACAGCAGTGTTCATGTTAATAGTTGTCTGAAATGAAGGAGCTGAGATGTCTTCAGCAGGGCATGGACAAACACACTGGATAGTATTTACACAAAAGTGGAAGGAGCTATGAAGTCACATAGATAGACATGGGCCTTTTCAATGTGTATTTCAAGGTGAAAGCCAGTGTAGAAGTTTATCTTTTCTTTCTTTTCCTTCCACGACATTCTGGAAAAAATAAAATTACAGAGATGAAGTCAGCAGTTGTCA